AACCCTGACAATAAATTGATTTCTCCCATCTGGTTGCTAAAGCAAGAGGCAACTGCTGAGGAATAACAACAAGGGATCCTGTCCTTCTTTTGAAGCTCCCTAAAACTGCTAATTGGCTACAGTAGGCATCATGTTCAGCTGGATGGCTGATTGGCTTGACTCTTCTGGTCAATAATTATGACTTCTAGGTGGTTATATCCTTGCTACTGAGCAGAAGTTGCGGCCAAATCAGTGGAGGCAAGGAAATGTAACCAGGGTGCAGAAACAGAAAGCAACTCTCAGCAGATAAAACTTTGTTCCTTACTCTTTAAATCTCCAAGTAATAGTTGGGGAGGCAGCCTGATATAAAATTGTTTTGTCTGGGAGGGGGAATATACTGGTCTTTTAAACAAACACAGTTTTGCAGATTATACAAAGGAGAGAAAGCCGATGTCATGAGAGACATTGCTCCTCTTAAAAGTGGCACTAGGTAAAAGTAAAAGTTCCCCTTGACATTTAGTCCAGTCGTGTTGGACTCTAGGGCATGGTTCTCATTTCTGTTTCCAAGCCACAGAGTGAGCGTTTTTGTCCGAAGATAATTTCCGTGGTCACGTGGCCAGCACAACTAGACACGGGACGCCGTTACCTTCCCACCGAGGTGGTACCTATTTATCTACTTGCATTTGCGTGCTTTCGAACTGCTAGGTCGGCAGGAGGTGGGACAAGTGACGGGAACTCACTCCGTTGCATGGATTCGATCTTACAACTGCTGGTCTTCTGACCCTGCAGCACAGACGCTTCTGTGGTTTAACCACGTCCCACAGCAAGAGTGACACTAGTTTGTCATAAAAACATAGAATCATACAATTGGAGAGATGAAAGCCACCACCCCCCAAGGGTCATTGGATCCAATCCTATTCCAAAGCAGGAAATCCATGGCTAAACCATACCTGAAAGGAGCCCAACAAATCTCAGATGAAAAACTACCAGTGAAGGAGAGTCCATTGTCACACAGCTCCTACTGTCAACCAGTTCTTCCTAATGTTTAAGCAAAATGTTCTTTGTTGTTATTGAAATCTATTACTTTGAGTTCTATCTTCTGAAGCTACAGAAAACAAGCTTGCTCTTTCTCCCACATGGCAGCCCATCAGATATTTGAGGATGGCTATCATATGCCGAAGCGGACTGGATAGCTTGCTGAGTTGGAACACCAGGCTACAGCCAAGGGCTGAGAGAGTTCAATTCCCCACAGTGTGTCTTGGTAGAAGAGCCAGCCTATGTAGCTTTGGGCAAGTTACACAGTCTTAACACACTCCCAGGAGAACAGTGAATTGCTTCTGAAGGCTTTATACCTATAGAAACCCCGAGAAAAGCTGCCATATGTCAGGATTGACGGCGTGCAATCATTATTCTTACTATATGCCAAAAAAGCAAGGCTTATGTTCTAGGAGCCCCAAAACCATATACAGAGAAACTCAAGACATATCTGCTTCACTGACTACATTCCAGCTTCAGCAACCTCTCCTGTAGTGGGATGAACTACAGTCATGGTGAACCTTTTTGAGCTCGAGTGCCCAAACTGCAACACAAAATCAACTTACTTATTTCAAAGTGCCAACACTGGCATTAAAACCTGAATGCTAAGATTTTAGTTTAGGTAAAAAATAACTGCTCCTGCTCTGCAAGGGTTAAATGCTTGTTGCTTTTTTCCTATGGGTGGTATTAACAAAGAAATACTTACCGGTCCTCCAATCCCCCATTGGACTAGACCAATAATGGTTGCCATTGCACTCTCCACGGGACCACTGAACTAGCAGAGGGGAGTGACAAAATCCGGGATTGGAGGATGGGTAAGTATTTCTCTATGGCGACTTATGGCTCACGTGCCCACAGAGAGGGCTCTGTGTGCCAGCCGTGGCACGTGTGCCATAGGTTCGCCATCACTGAACTAGAAGATAGGCAGCATCAGCGCATTCAGAGAATCATTCATTGAGCATGTTTGCAATCAGTTAACCCTCAGTGCCCTTGAAATGAATGGACAAAACCATTCTCTGTGCAGGGGTATAGTCATAAGGCATATAATATTAGTCCTGTTTCATTGCATACCCCACTTGGAATGATAAACACATGTGATCTGGTTTAATTACACCAGCTGAACTGAATTATGGATCAGGGCCCAATTCCGCACACGGTCAGCCCACTTCAGCCCCCCTCCCAGGAAGACTCACACAGACAGTGGAGGCTAAAACAGAAAGGACATTTGGGGGGGGGGAAACAACCTGCGAAAAATGGGTCCCAGTCTGATTTTAAAATGCAAGCTACTTATTTCTTACTTGTTTTGAAAGATAAATGTTTAATTTGTTTCTCACCGATGACATTTAAGGTGAAACGCCATGATGAGGAGCATCAAGGTAGGAAGAGGAGTAACTAATGTCTCACTGGTTCGGTAGACCTGTATCCAAATTCAGAGATATTTTATTGGAAGTGGGTAGAATTTCACTTTGCCAATGGTTATTGTGGATCCAATCTTGCATGGCTCCACAATAAAACCTGATTTTAGGTTAGTGTTGGAAAGACAGAAATACTTAAGTAACACTGAATTCCTGTGACCAAATGGCAGAGGGATTGAGCCAAAAAACATGAATTTGTCCCCATTTTTCCCCACCTAGTTTGTACGTACCGCTTCTACATCGCATCCGAACTGTGATTAAATGCTCTCAACAGGGAGACACCAGCCCTTTCTGTGAAGGCACCCTCTCTCTCACCCCCCCTTCCCAAACTCCTCAGTTGCTATAGCAACTTAAGAAAGCTTTCTAGAAAAAGAAGCACACATCACTTCTGAACTTCACCCAATCTACTTCATTAAAGCACAGCAGCTGTTTATGTTTGTTTGGATTCTTGAAAGGGACACACATGAGATGGGGTGTGTGTGTGTGTATGTTTGTGTGTGTGTGTTGCTTTTTTCCTTTTAGGGGGAGGAGAAAGGAGCAGGAAGTTTTGATCTCTGGTGGTCTTTTCATATTTTATGTTTTATACTGAATGCTATTTAAGCAACAACAGAATGAAATTTAACGGAGATAAGTGCAAAGTTCTACTGGGGAGCGGGGAGGGGGGGAGGAACCAGACCAAACACAATACTATGAGTGAGAAGGATCTTGGAATTGTTGTAGATCAGAAGCTTAATATTAGCCAACCGTGCAATGTGGCTGCAAAAACCGCAAATGCTATTTTAGGCTACATTAACAGAAGTACAGTCTCCAAATTCCATGGAGTACTATTGTGTTTCCCCACAAAATAAGACAGGGTCCTATATTAATTTTTGCTCCTAAAACGTATTAGGGCGTATTTTCAGGGGATGTTTTATTTTTTTCATATACAACAATCTACTGTACTTTTATACAAATACAATCATGTCATCTTCTTCTGGTTGCTGCACAATGGTGGAGGGTGGGGTTTCACTTAATTGGGACTTATTTTGGGGGTAGGGCTTATATTATGAGCATCCTGAAAAATCATACTAGGGCTTATTTTTAGGTTAGGCCTTATTTTCAGGGAAACAGGGCAGTTCCCCACTATTCAGCACTGGTTAGGCCTCATCTAGAGTACTGCGTCCAATTCTGGATACCACACTTTAAGAAGGATGCCAACAAAGTGGAACAAGTTCAGAAGAGGGGAACAAAGATGATTCAGGGGCCTAGAAAACAAGCCCCATGAGTCAAATCTGAAAGAACTGGATGTGTTTAGTCTTGAGAAAAGAAGACTGAGCAGAGATTCAGATACTTGAAAATTTGTCATATGGAGAGAAAAAGGATCTGTTCTCAGTCACTCAGGATGCATAATGGGCTCAAGTTACATGAAGCCAGATTTCTGTTTGGAAAAAACTTCCTAAATATTAGAGGGCATGACAATGGAACTAATTACCTTGGGAGGTGATGAGTGCTCCAACACTGAAGGCATTCAAGAGAATATTAGGCAACCACCTACTTTGATTTGGATTCCTGCATTGAGTAGGGGTAGGACTAGATGGCCTTATAGACCCCTTCCAACTCTATTATAGCATGATTCTATAATTCCCCTCTCCTTCTTTTCTTTGCATATCAATTATGTTGTATTGCTGTTCGAAGCAACACCTTCTCAAATTATACCAGAATGTGTATTGAGTTTGTGATGCAGTATATGTTAACGCTGATAATTCAAGAATGACTAGAAAAAGAAATAGGATGTGTATTTGTGGAGGATTTATGTTCATAGTGAAGACTCATTTACATACAAACTGTTTTAAGCCTCACACTTGAAAATGCCTTTCATTACATAATCATGTATAAATATACAACCTTGTAAATGTTTCTAGCATCCACAGTGAATGCAAAAGCTATGTTGAATGGAATCTATTTTTGATTTAAAACTGGTTTTCTTTCACACTCACTTTTTCAAGATTTACCCTCTTATTGTGTCTTTAGGTGACCTTACACAGAAAATGTGAAAGCACTGTTATTATAGATGATACGGCAGCCAGTTTTCCTACATTCCACATAGGATTTGAAAGTGAATCAAAGTGAAGGAAGTGAGGAAGAATGGGCCATGAGAATGAAAGTGGAGGAGGAAGGAACAGAGAAAAAAAATCTGGGGGGAGAAAGTGGTGGAAGGCAGAGCAGAGTCAGAAGGAAGGAAGTCAGGAGCAAAGAAGCAGAAATTTGGTGGGAGCAGATGAGGGGCTATGAGGAAAAGCATGAAGAAGCACAGGAGAGCTGTGGAGATGTTGATGGTGAAAAGCAAACAAATTTTAAAATAAAGCATACAGTATTTTTATTGAAGGACACCTGCTTCAAAAATAACCAATCCACTGCATTATTCTTTTGAGGTTCCCAACTGCTTTATAAATCTACATTTAAAAAGGGAACAATTCAGAGTTCCTTTAATGTAGATTATTGTATGATTGGAGAGAAATGCATTCACTCTTCATCTCCTGTAGACTCTAGGCCTTTAAAAGAGAGAGGAAAGGGGTGGTGGAGGAAACTTACCTATAGTTGATACCACGGTGCCCACAAAATAAAAAGCCCCTGTGAAGTCCCATCTTGGCCGGAGGGCATCTGCTCTGATGCCTGCAGCCATGGCTGCTTCATAACTTCTCAGAAAGGCCCTTAGCTCAGGGAGGCTGATGTTGAAGATCTGGCTGAAGTTTTGAAGGGTCCAGTTCCAACGCTGCTGAGCTTCTGCTTCAGATGGGCTTTCGATGGCTGAGAAGATGGTGGCTCCAGCAGTCAGGTACACCACGATGAGCACTGCTAAGAGGATGAACCGCCCATTGTCCTCATTGAAATGGGACACGCAGCAGCAGCCCTGAGGTCTCCTGATAGGCATCATCCAAATTTCAGCACCACAGAGGTGATGGACAGCAACCAACACCTCATTGGAGACAACATGGAAGCTACCGTCCAATTAAAGGAGTCCAAGAGGAAAACCTGGAAGGGTTTCTTCTCGAAGTCATGGAACTTGGCATGCCATACTTGATGTCAATGCAGAATTCTACCAATGTATATTCCATGGGCTTCCCTTACATCAATGCAGGCAGCTCAGTTTTCTGAGAGCCATGTTGAGACTTTTTTGGCACTTGCAATCCACTACCAAGCTCTTCAGTGAACTGGCCATTGGGCTGTAAAGAATAGTTTTACTCTTTCATCCCAGACAGCTCCTTTTGGCCACAATCTTTGTATTCCAGTCTTTGTCCAAACTGCAGATGGATAAGTCTAGCAAGGAGAAAAATGTGTTTGGTGAGTTTCAGTAATGTCGAGGTGTGATAAGAAAGGCCAACAGAGCCCGGCACACTCTTCTTCCTAAAGGATCCCAAAGGAAACCAGCGATCTCTTTGCAAAGAGCCACCTTGCCTCTCACCGGCTCCTTGCCATCTGCCCATCCCTTTCAGCCAAACAGCCCTGGAAATCAAGCCCTGTCAAATACCTTTGAGTACACAAGACTGACACAGATCTTTCTTCTGTGTCAGATCTTCTAGGTTATTTACACAAGTTGCTTCCTCATGTACTAGATGGAAAGCTGCGTGTGGCAAGGGCAGGATCAAACAAGCCAGCTGCATTCAACTCAATCTTCCCGAGGCTGCAGGAGTGCAAAGGCAGGGAGCATTTATTGAGATAGTCCCGATCCATATTTAGGCTGCTTTGATCCATCTAACCAGCCTCTCTCTTTCTCATATGCTCTCACTTCACAGTTATCTTCAGGGGTTGGGAACACCTAGATCAAGGAGACACCAGTAGAACTTTGGTTAGCTTATAGCTCCCTTAAGCCTCACTCCTCTATCCCGACCGAAATGGATGGTTGTTTAGCAAACATGATACTGAACATTCAGCCCTGCGATAGCTTGGCTTGACTTTTCGGTCCCCTCCCCTTGAAGGCACCGGGCACCCGCCCAGGTTGAATGGATCTTTGCAACAGGGATGGCGAGGCAGGAGGAAGAGAGGGAAACAGAAGAGATGCCTCCGGCTCCCAAAGCCACCAGGTGGGTAAGCGTTTTAACAACAAGATCACAGAAAGAAGAAAAAAGGAAAGGAAACAGACTAAAATATGGAGGAAGTGGTAGAAAAGACCAGGAGATCATCCAGCTTTACCTTTCCGTAAGCAGGACCTTTTGGGTTTGTGTCACACGTGTTCTCCCAATTAACCCGCACCATCCGGTTTACTTTATGCAGGAGAAACCAAAATGGACTTGCCAAAATATACTTTTGGGTCCGGAGGGGGGGGGAATATTCTTTCCTTTATCCCTCTTTGGATTCAGCCGGGGCCACCTCTCCTCCCTCGGGACTCCCCTTTCCGCCCTCACGTCACCATTTCTTTGCAACCCTTCCCAAATCAACGTACCCCCCCCCTTCCCGTCCGCCGCCTCCGACCAAACCCCGCTTCCCTTCCCTTCCCTTCGAGATCCCCGGGAGGAAGCACGCACCTTGCTCTTTTCCCGGAGTATTTCTGCCTCTCCCATGGCGGAGCGTGGAGCGGGAACTCCCCGCGGGGCTGGTGGGGCTGAAGGAGGGAGGGGTGGAGGCTTCGCTTTCCCCTCTCGGGCCGATTCGTCGGCGCGCCGGCGGGCAGGCGGAGGACCGCGAAGGCGGGCGGCTCTTCAGCACCACGGATAGCGCACTGCAGCTCCGCGGGCGCCCGCCGCGACTTTCGGCTCTGCTTGCCGCCGTCCTTGCCGGGAGCGGAGTTGCCGAGGCTGGCAGAGCGCGGCGGGGGCTGTTCCCGGGCCAGCCAGGGGGTAGTAGTCAAGCAGGGAGCCTGCCTTCCTCTGCCTCATTTCCTTCTTGGAGGTTCGGCTGACGGCAAACAATACGGGGCAGCTAATACGAAGCAAAAGTGTGTGTGTGTGTGGGGGGGAAAGGGTGGTGCCCGGCCCTGATCTCCCGCCTGGAGGGTTTTGAGCGTGTGTGTGTGTCTCTGTGTTTTGTGTTTGTTGCTGCTAGCGTTTGTGCCCGCGAGGGGCGTCTTCAGTGTTGTTGCTTCTCTCTCTCTCTCTCGCTTGCTCTCTCTCTCTCTCTCTCTTTTGGAGGATTTTCTCCCGAAGGCACCCTGAAAACAGTCAAAGACGCGCTTGGGAAAACCTGGCGCCAGACAGGTCGCTCGCTACTTGGAGCAGCAGCACCCAGTAAGTCCAGGAGAGTTTCCCAAAGCTTTTGCCGATGACTCGGCGCCTCGCTGAAGTCGGAGCTGCAGCGGATCAGGCGGGGCTGCTCCAAACCGTTTGGCCGCCTGAGAACCGGAACAACAGATCGTACCCCTGCACCTCCATTCGTCCCAGTCGAGGTGTGGGGAACCCAAAACCAGCTGTGAGACATGAGGCAGAACATATTGCAAGCCCTCTTTCCCAACCCTGGCGGTAAAAAGGAGGCATGAACAATTCACGCCCGGCTACGACGTCCAGAGGCCCCACTTTACCTAATGACAGGACCGGTGGGACACTATCTCCTGCGTATATGTTTGCATATATGTGCATAAACATGTATAGATTTTATTTAAACAATATGCATCCAATATATTCCTCTCTCTTTATGTGGCCATGCTGTATGTGTGTTATTCTTCAACGATATTAAATCTATAATATAAATTGATATACTATATAGAACTCTTTTGAATTTCTGTATGAAACCTGTCATACATAGATTATCTATCTATCTATCTATCTATCTATCTATCTATCTATCTATCTATCTATCTATCTATCTATCTATCTATCTATCTATCCATCTATCCATCTATCCATCTATCCATCCATCCATCCATCCAGATGGTCTTTTTGGACACTTTATGTGGCTCAAGGATGGCAAGAGACAAGCTTTCTGCCTGGCTCATCAAGAGCTACTTCCCTCCCCGGATGACATCCCAGTAGACACAGGGTGGTTGATAAATCGAGATGTATGCCTCCTGCATGGCAAAACAGTAAAGTTCATTAATATTTCAGCAAAAATGCCTCTCGTTTTTATTCAGCAGCCTGATCTAAAGAGGCACACATAATGCACAATGAAGACACATTATTGTTCCAGTAACTGCTGCTCCCAAATCCTTTTCCAATATTGCATGATGGCCAGTTGTAAAAGTTCAGTTGGTGCAGCACAGAATTAGTGAGGTAGTCCCAATGACAATGATTTGTCCATGACTGGTATAGTTCTTCTTCCAAGGTTACACCATTCTTTCCTTCCCTTTTTTATCTTCACAACAACCTTATGAGGTAGGTTAGTGTAAAAGAGAGTGAGTGGCCCAAGATCATCCAGTCAGATACATAGCTTAGTGCAGGCTTGTCCAACCTTGGGCCTTGTTCTTAGATTAGACTACACCTCCCAGAAGCCTTCACCACCACCTCTGCTGGCCAGGATTTCTGGGAGTTGAAGTCCAAGAACATCTGGAGGGCCAAGGTTGGACACCACTGGCTTAGTGGAAATTTTAACTTGAATCAACACAGTTCTAGTTTGCTGCTCCATTCCAACATTGCACAATTTAGGACCTTCTAATTGTTTAGGGATCCCATATTTCTCCCCACTTCTGCTCTATAATATAGTAGTATCACTATAATCCAAATGCATGAAAAGATTCTGAATGGGGATGGAGCTTTTTTTGTTTCAGTGAAAGGTTGCGGGAGAGACACAAAACAGGACATTTATTTATTCTGATAAAGATAAATATTTTGGTCTGTTTTTTGTCAGTGGGAGAGTTTTGTTTGCTTCTGTGGGGTGGGCAGGCTGGGGTGGTGGACTTTGTGGCTGTGCCAGTTTGCCACTGGGGTGCTTGTTGTTGGTTGCAATATTGCAGGCTTTTAGAGGTGACTGGTTCTCTGGTGCCTTGCCTCTCTGCCTTTTTGGGGTAGTTTTTAATCTTGTTTAGGAGTTCTGCGGTGCCAGAAAGTCAAATTGGAAGCCTGAAATAAAATAACCCCAAATATCATTTTGTTTGTGAAGAACAAAAGGATTGGTGCCTGAAAAATGCAAAAATGAATGAGGCACATCCCCCCCATCACCCAAAACAAAACAAATACAAAAATGTCAGGGAGCCTCGTGGCGCAGTGGTTAAATCGCTGTACTGCAGCCAAAACTGTGTTCATGACCTGGGGTTCAATCCCAGGTAGCCAGCTCAAGGTTGATTCAGCCTTTTACCCTTCCGAGGTCGGTAAAATGAGTACCCAACGCACTGGGGGGGGGGCAATGTGTAGCCTGCATAATTAACTTGTAAACCACCCAGAGAGTGCTTGAAGCACTATGGGGTGGTATATAGGCAGCACGCTTTGCTTTGCTTTATACTTAGTTATTTCTGAAAGTTCTTCTACATAACTGTGTTATCATGCTGGAGAAATCCAGCAGAGGCACAGTGGTTTACTCCTATTTCAGGAGATACAAGAAATATACAGGAAATTTATCCCTAACCCTGACTATACTGATACAACCTTAGTTATACTGTATATTCGAATCCCAGTGAGGTAAAAAAATATGCAGAATGTATGCAGTGTCTGTTTTATTACTCCTGGTCCATGAGTTTTAATTCACATTATCTTTAAATTTAGTTCTGATGAAAAGAGTCAAGAGAATGATACAGTAGTGTTGGGTGGAGGGGCTAGGATAGAAGAATCACAGAATAGTACAGCTGAAAGGGACTCCAAGGGGCATCAGATCCAGCCCTCTGCCAGAGCAGGAATTCTACAGCTGAACAACTCTTGATAGTTGGCCATCGAACCTCTGATGGAAAACTGATAATGAGCAATTAGATTGTCTATCAAATGGCATTGACCAGTGTACTGGAAGATCGTGCAGGTCTTGGTCCCACAGAAATGGCATCTCACCTGGTGGTACAGCCACACTAGCACAACAGCAAGCCCTCGACCATAAGATGCAATTGGTTAGCCTCTAAACTTCCTTCATAGAAGGGCCCCAGATTATGGAAGGAGAAGA